TGTTTCTGTCCTCTCCAGAGATGTATTTGGATAGATTCTTCTTCTTACTTAGACCAGGACCTCAACTTTGGTACTTCTAAGGACATTCACTGCTCTGAGACAGAACATTAACTTTCTCTTTTAGTCAACGGAGTTAAATGAAATAAAAATGGGCAATCAGTCAGGTTCAGCCCACTATCGTTTCATCATGCAGTTGCAGTCCACCTTTCTGACCGATTCCCCCAAGTCCTTTCTTCATCAGTTTAGGCCAAAGTGCCTCCCCTTCCCCTAGACAAGGTCTCCCCTTCACAGGCTTCTCTACTCTCAGGGCCTCGTTCTGTGCTCCAGTGATGTTCTATATTCCTGAAAATTCAGTTCTTTCCTCTGGCCCTAGCAGGAGTGTTCAGAGTAACTGCAGCAAAAAGTCCCCAGGAACTCAGAGTGGCTGGCTGGGTGTGCTACCCACCTGTGATGGCCTGTAGGAGACAAGAGGCTGTAAGGGCAAGTTTATGTTTTAAATAATATGGTTCTGATACGGATTTCCAGCATGGGCCAAAATGCCTAACTCTAGACATATGGAGGGATTTGAGTTAGTACAAAATGGCTGACACCAGATGTCTTAGAACTCCAAAAGTAAAGTGTTATATAACTATTTTTGGCAGAATGAAGTTCTCTGTGAGTCTATATAAATAGGACCTTGAGGTCAGAAGCCAGAGACTTTGCTTTCACCAGCCTGCCTGCTTGTGCGTATTTTCCCATAGATCTGTGTGCCCATTTCCATGTGGCCTGTGGACCAGTCTACATGGCTGCCTCTGCCTACCTGTGTGCTGGCATGTGCCTGGGTATCTGCAGATGCCTGCCTAGCAGCCTGTGTGCTGGTGAATAAAGTATGTCTTATTTGTCCGAGACTCCTTGAAATCTCTTCAACCTCCCGGTCTTCTGTGATCCTCCTCCTTTCCTGGCATAGAGCTTGGACCTCATAAACCCCACTTCTTAGACCTTGTTCCTACATGATATGATGTCCCTCCATCCCTGACCATGGCCCAGACTGGCTTCCATCAGGTAGAATGTGGAATGTCTGATACCACTTGTGAGATGAGATCCCAGAACACCGCTTTTGGGTGCCAACATTCCCTCATCCCCTGGTTCTTTCACAGGCTTACCCTGATGGAGACAGATACCTTAGCAAGGAGCTGAGGCTCCAAGTCCACACTTCTTCAGGAACTACATCCTCCCAAGAGCTCCATGAGCAGAGGCACACACCTTTCCCCTGGGTGATCCTTCACATGAGACCTCAGACCCTGGGCAGCACCTGGATGGCAGTTTCCTGTGAGACCCTGGAGCAGAGGATTCTGGTAGGTATGCCAGATACTCAGAGACTATGATTCTCACGTTACCTTACCAACTGAGTTTGAGCTCCAGAAATGACATTAAAAAAATAAAAGGCTAGGCACAGTAGCATGTATTTGTAGTATTTGTAGTTCCAGCACTGGGGATGAGGAGACAGCAGGATCCCTTGGGTTCCCTGGCCAGCCAGCTTAGTCTACATGGTGAACTCCAGGGCAGTGAGAGACCCCATCTCAAAGAAGATAGATGGTGCTTGAAAAATAACAGCTGAGATCATCCTCTGGCCTCTGCATGTACTCTCTCTCTCTCTCTCTCTCTCTCTCTCTCTCTCATACACTGTACACATTTAAAAAGTATGTTGTTTTAAGGTCTAACTTCTGGAGTGATTTGTTGTACACTGACAAGTCCACCTGGGTTTGCTCAGGAGGGGAGGGCACTGAACATCTCCTGTGTCACCCAAAGCTTGTGTTGGCTCCAGGTCCAAGAATTACATATGCTCTGGGTCCTTGAGGTCAGGTGTGGTTCTGACTCAGAGGCACCTGCCCCACACAGGGTGGAGCACCTCAGAGGGCTTTCTGTGGATCCATGTGGGAAGTGAGTGTGAATGGGGGACATACATTAGTGCTGCACTGATAATCAAGCTCTCCAGCAGAAGGCAGATAAAGAACGGTGTGAGCCAGGCCTGGGCTGTAAATCCTGCATTTATGGCTGAGGGCCAGCTTCTATGAGGTCCTGGCTGTTGTGGGCCTGGCTGAGTGCTTTAGCAAACATATGACACCAGTCCTTCCATAGCAGGTGTGCTGAAGGGGTGGAGTTATCTTCTATGGCATCACTTAGGGAAACTGAGATCAGGTAGGTATTAGGTTCCCTCCACTACATATACCTGCCTGTGAAAAGCCTGACTCTAAATGGTGGCAACACACCTGGAATCTAGATAAAGCCACCTGGAGGACTGACAGCCTCTCTTCTAAAACCTTCCAAAAGAGGGTTGGAAAGCTGGCTCAACAGTTAGAGCACTGGCTGCTCTTGCAGGGAACCCAGGTTCAGTTCCCACTACCCACATGGTGACTAACAATTGCCTCTAGCTCCAGTTCCAAGGGATTCAGTGCCCTCTTCCGGCCTCTGTGAGTACCCACACAAAGGTGGTGCATATAAATACACTCAGACACATGCGCATATGTGCGCACGTGTGCGCGCATACACACACACAGAAATTAAAAAGAAAATCTTTAAAAAGCTTCCTTCTAAAGGATCCACCCAGGAACATTACACACCACATCTACTCTCCCAGAAAGACACGTGCTCCAAGCAGCGTTCCCAGAAGTCTCAGAGGGCTGCCTGAGTGGCTCTTCAGAGCCTGCCACAGACATCTCGTCTCCCTCTCATGATTCGCATTGCATCTGACATGAACAACTATTTACACATGTAAATCCGCTGTCTGTTAATTAACATATCTGTTTTCATTTTCTTAATCTTGCACATTAATTAGACTTTATATGAATTGGATTCAGGAGATTTAATTTGGCCGCTAACCTCCCCTATAACTAGGGGTCCAGGCACACATTTTTCTGGAGATAATTTTTCACAGAGTCAAAGACTGAGACACACCTCACCCTGAGATGTGCTCAAAGTCCTTCCAGGGGTCACTATGGGGATGGCTGGTGTCAGAAGCCATGAGCTGTTCAGCACACCAGCTGTCTTTCCTTGGTTGGGTATTAAAGGGAGGCCTGTAGAGGGTCCTGTGGATCAGAGAACAGGACCGTTAAGAACAAAGTGAAGTTTTGTTTGATGGCAGTTTTTTAAGGATCACTTAAGACACGGCTGATAGGGAATGTCTTCCTCAAATCTAATTGCTTCTGGAAAAGACATGGACAGCACAGATCCAAAGTCCTAAGAACTCCCCTGTACACTGTGTGAATATCATGGGGGACCACATTCATATGTATGAACAATACCTGTTATTCAAAAATTAAAAATCAGACAATGGAGACAGTAGTCACACTGAAGCCAGGCACTGCTGACCTATGGACAGGTCATGGGAACTTGTCAGGTTTTGGGTATGTTTTATTGACTGAATCAAAAAGTTGAACATTTCAGAGAAATAGCAGAGTAACTAAAATTATGTCTCAAAAAGTTTTTATGAGGGAGTTCTATGTCATTCATTTGTAGAACATTCTTTCATTAAGCATAGCATACAAGCCAACACACAGAAAGCATATTTTATTCTAATTAGAAAACATATGCTGTCAGCCTGAATTTATTTTAAAGAAATATTTGAACCCATACTGAATATTACCAGTCTCCATTTACCCTACAGACTTATTTTATTATGCTAAGGTACATATGATCACTTTTATGCAAACATATCAAGTACTTTGAGCACATCTCCTCATGCCCCACTATCCTCCTCTTTCCCTTCCCTCCCCCTCTCCTTCCCTACAGATAATTAGAAAGTGATGCTACTAGCTATATTCCTAGTAATGATTTAAAAATCCTTCCATTATCAATCACCACAATGGGGTCAAATATAACATTTCATTAAGGAAAAAAAGTCACTTTAATTTTCTCTTTTTCAAGAGCACTGGAGAAAGATTTCAGTGGAAGGTTGTTTTACTGCTCAGCATTATTTAGAATAAGATCTGGAAACAACCTGGGTGTTCAAAATCATATGCTAAGCTAAAGGTATATGATGGAATATTATGAAGGCATTATAATTGTTTTAAAGAAATACTTAAAGTCAAAAGGAAGTGGTTCTGGGGCGGGAGAGATGGCTCGGTAGTTAGAGCACTTGCTGCTCTTGCAGAGGACAAAGGTGCAGTTCCCAGCACCCATGTCCAGTAGCTTACACCTGTATGTAACTCCAGCTCCAGGGGATCTGATGCCCTCTACTGGACTCTGCAGGTACCTGCACGCATGTGATGTACATACATACAGCTCAGGTGCACATGAAATAGAATAAATAAATCTTTTTAAAAGATAGAAAAATTCTTTCATTTGATAAAGGAAATGTTTTCGATATAAGTGAAAATAAAAGCATATAAAGACCTGTGCAAACATTATGATTCCAAGCTCATAAAATAATAAACGTGCTATGCATTTTCTATGTACTGAGGTTATGTATATACAAGGTCCTGGAAGGAGATGAGCCAACATCTTAGTGTTGGGATGCCTGAAAGTGACTGGTTTTCTTTTTCTCTTTTAACTGTGATTTCCAAAGCAGCATGCACTGCTCTCATATCAGAAAACAGCCATTGTTAAGACCAGCCAACAGTGTCTTTAGAGAATCTCACCCAGCTTGCTCTTAGCATTACGGCTTATCACCTCCTTTTCTCCTGTTCCCTCTGACTGAAGTATAAATCTAATCCATTGTGCAGAGCTAAGCATCTTGTCACAGCATCCTCTGCTAGGTTAGGCAAACCACATGGAAGTGATGACAAAGTGGGCGGGACATAATTCTTCCCCAAAGCTCAAAGAGTACAAGTGTGGAGCCCACATGTACTGAGTTGACCCAATCTGCATTGCTGGACATATAGTACTCCAGTGGGTGTTAGGTATAGGGATTAGCATCTAGTGGCTTAGCATGTAGGCCAATAGCCATCATGGTGAGGCTAAGCTGAGATTCCCCACCAACAGAGCTAGGTGCAGGACCAGGGCATCCTGAAAGGGCTGCTTACCTGTTGCGTGCCCCGGGGCCCAGGCGCTGGCAGGCCACAGAGGTGGTGGTATGCTTTCCACCATTGCCTACCTCCTGCCTCACATCCCACTGCTGAGGCTTGCTGGTCTGTGCAGTCAAAATGTTCACCCCCTTCTTCACCTTGGCTCTGCAGATGAAAGGCGAAAGAGAGAGTCACAGTGTTAGATTCCTGCTTTCAGAGGTGCTGGGTCCTACTAAGTTGCTCCAATCAGAATGCACCAGACAGTGACCCTGCTGGGACCATACTTGGAGATGTATGGGACCTGCCTAAGACCAGGGGATCATGAAACTTGTTGTTCCAACCTAGGGCATTCCCTGGAGCAGGACTTTTAAACTTTTCCACTGGTATCTCGTTTCACTCAAGAAAAATTTACATGATTCCAGGCATACGGATACATTAAAAGGTATACAAATAAAACATTTACTGAACATAAATCATAATTATTTTAAGATTTATTTTCTATTTATATGTATGTGTATATGTATGCCACATGTGTGGGTGCCCTCATAAGTCAAAAGAGGGTGTAGATTCCCTGGGGCTGCAGTTACAGATGATTGTGAGCCCCTATGTGAGTACTGAGAACTGAACTTGAGTCCTCTACAAGAGCAACAAGAGTTCCTAGCAGCGAAGTCATCTCTTCATCCCCTATCACTTACCTTCAAACAATTCTTTGGAATACATACAATTTTTAAGCTTTGATTAAGGAATTGTCTGGATCAGATTGGCCTGTGGGCATGTCTATGGGGAATGACTTGATTGTTAATGATGTGGGAGGGCCCTGTCCACAGAGGGTGGCACAGTCTCTAGGCAGGTGGTCCTGACCAGCATTAAAAAAAAACAAAAAAAACCCAGCTCTGCTTCCCTGGGCCTGCACCACCCTCCCGCTTCTCGGGCCTCTCTCCTGGATAAGTCTATCGTGCCCTCCCTGCCTTGACTCCCACAGCCTCATTCACCCTCCCATCTCCCCCGCTGTCTCTCCTCCTAGCCTGGGTCCTGTCCCATTCCTTGTCTCGGTGCCCCAGATACCGGGGGACCCACCACTGCTTCCTCATTCTTTACATCTAGACCAATCTAGTTCCTTCTTCTGGTCCCCAGGAGCACTGCTTCTGGGCCTGGTCCTGCCCTCACCTCCCTCTGCTTCCCTGGGCTGCACAACCTGTCTGCCTCTCTCCAGGGAGCCCTCTGGGCCTGGTCCCGCCCTCACCCCCTGGGTTGCACAACCCACCAGGCTCTTTCTGACCTTTCAGCTTCCCGATCCTTTGCATCAAGACCAACCCAGTTCCTCAGTGCAGTCCCCAGGAACCCTTGGGGCCTCTCTCCACCTCCATCTCCCTTTGCAACTCTGGGTGGCACAGCTACCAGCTGCCCAAGACAGGCACGTTTCCTGAGCCCTACTCCCAGGCCAGTCCAACCCCCAAATTCCTGAGGCCAAAATCTTTCCTGGAGGGATCCAGACCTTAAGAGAAAGCCAGAGAGCATCTGAACCTTATCTGACTTGGGCCTCTGTGGGAACTCCTGAAAACAAAAGCAATCTGTCCACTCCAATATAAAATCAAAAGAAAGAACTGGAAGCTTAGATAAACCAGCTTTTCATGCCCCAAAAGTAAATTAAAAAGGCACATACAGTTCACAAAAAGAAGCAGACCTATACTTGAAGGCTTGAGTCTCACACAAGAATCAGAAACTACAAAAGAAATTCACATGTCAAAATCACACAGAAAAAAATAATAACATGAAAAACCAAAATAACATATCCCCACCAAATACCAATAGTCCTCTAGAGGAGTACAGTGAGAACCCCCTAGAGATAATGCAGGACATGGAACTCAAAAGAACAATTATAAACATGATAAAAGAATTCAGTGAATTTAAAGAACACATAAACAAGAAATCAAAGAACTGAAGGAAGATGGGGATAAACTTATGAATGAAGTCAGAAAAGAGCTAGAAATATTGAAGAATACTCAGGCTGAAATGAAGAAGGAAGTGAAAATCTCAGTAAGCCAATTAGAAATGACAGGAGAAAGCCTAACCAATAGGATGAATGAAGATAGGAAGATTTAAGAAATAGCACAAAAATGGAATATACAGGAATTGTGACACCATAAAAAGACCAAACGTACAAATCATAGGCATACAGGAAGGAGAAAATCCCAAGATAATGGCATGGACCAGATCTTCAACAGAATCATGGAAGAAAATTTCCCAAAATTAAAGAAAGACAG